AAATGGTTTGCGACTGGGAGGTGCAGTTGTTTAGTGCGAACTGAGCTACATCGGGGAAACCAAGCGGAGTCTTGGGGACCGCTTTGCAGAACACCTACACTCGGTTCGCACTAAACAACTGCACCTCCCAGTCGCGAACTATTTCAACTACCCCCTCCCATTCCTCAGATGACATGTCCATCCTGGGCCTGCTGCAGTGCCACAACGATGCCACCCGAAGGTTGCAGGAACAGCACGTCATATTTCGCTTGGGAACCCTGCAGCCCAATGGTATCAATGTGGACTTCACAAGCTTCAAAATCTCCCCTCCCCCAACCACATCCCAAAACCAGCCCAGCTTGTCCCCACCTCCCTAACCTGTCCTTCCTCCCCCCTATCCCCCCCTCCCACCTCAAGCCCAAACCCCATCTCCTACCTACCAGCCTCATCCCGCCTCCTTGACCTGTCCGTCCTCCCTGGACTGACCTATCCCCTCCCTAACTCCCCACCTACACTCACCTTTACTGGCTCCATCCCCGCCTCTTTGACCTGTCTGTCTCCTCTCCACCTACCTTCTCCTTTATCCATCTTCTTTCCGCCTTCCCCTCTCTCCCTATTTATTTCAGAATCCCCTTCCCCTCCCCCATTTCTGAAGAAGGGCCTAGGCCCGAAACGTCAGCTTTCCTGCTCCTCTGATGCTGCTTGGCCTGCTGTGTTCATCCAGCTCTACACCTTGTTAACACAAATGCACAGTTATTATTTCTCCTTCTTCCTCCCTCTGCAGCTGCCAAATCAGTTCAGTGTTTTTTTTTTAATTTTCTTTTTTACGCAGCTTGGAAAACGAATATAAATTTTAAGATGCTCCTTCGCTGCCCGCTGTCCTCCCTCTTCTTTATAACTTATATTTGTCTTTCCAATTATTCTGTTTTCTATCACAAAATATCCATATTTTTGCCTTCCTTCTATTTGAGTTTTGTTACAGCTTACTGACCGAGTCCTTGCAAGCATAGCTCTAACCTCAATATAGATAATTTTCTCAGAATATGCAGACAACATGGCATTGATTAACAGGATTTAACACACTCATTCTTTCCCTTTAGACACAGATATCCAGAGACCTTACATGCCCTGTTAAAAGGCTTTGTTTAAGATCAAAGTATAAAGTAATTCTGCACAGTTGAATACTCATACCTCACATCCTAAGCCCCAGACTGTGGTGCTGTTTGAATGAATTATCATTTGAAAAGTCATGCATTTTACAAAGCTTTTAGTAAAAGTTACGAAAGACTCAAACAAAACACAACTACTTGATAACTTGGTGAGAGGTGCATGCAAATGAACTGCGCATACCAAAAATCCCCAGATCGCTTTTTTTGACCAAGGCAGTGCTAGCTGATCCCATTCAAAGTAGCAGTCCAGGTGCTACAGTTATTCCCAAAATGGGTCACTATGCTGTAATGTGAACACACAATCCTTTTTCTCACCATTGAATTTTCCCAGATTGAGTGACAATACGATCACACTCTGAAATACAACCCCTCACCAACACTCTGAATCCTTAAATGGTCTGCAACACTTCTAAATATATGAACAATAATTATTAAAGTAACAGAATCAAGATCCATATATCAGCAGGATTCTTCAGGAGGATGATAAGAAAAGAGAGAGTGCAAAGTTGAAAAGTTCTGACAAACTGTGTCTTTTTCCAACAATATTTAAATTTAGTACAACAAAACTTGGGGACAGCACAGTGGTTAGCACTGCTGCCTCACAGCACCAGCGATCCGGGTTCGATTCCACCCTCAGGCGACTATCTGTGTGGAGTTTGCACATTCTTCCCATGTCTGCGTGGGTTGTCTCTGGGTGCTCCAGTTTCCTCCCACAGTCCAAAGATGTGCAGGTTAGAGTGGATTGGCCATGCTAAATTGCCCATAGTGTCCAGGGATGTGCAAGCTAGGTGGGTTAACCATGGGAGTTGCAGGGTTATCGGAATAGGGTAGGGGAAGTGGGTCTGGGTAAGATGATGTTTGGGGGGTTGGTGTGGACTCTATGGGCTGAATGGCCTGCTTCCACACTGTAGGAATTCTATGAAAACCTAATTTTAATCATTTGAAGTGTTTGGTTGATGAACTGTCCTCGAGTATCTTAATCAAACCTTCAATTATAATTTCAGCCTGTAGAACATAATTTGCTTCTATACTTCATAGGCCACATGACAATTCTAAAGATTAATCTCTTCAACAGACCCGGTTAACAATAAATATCTTACAAATGTCAGAAAAACTTTCCATAATCTCAACAATTTTGTTATATTTCAGTAATTCTTATCCCTTTGGTGATAGTAAGTGTTAATTCGATGGTGTGGGGAGAGGATAGAAAGGAGTCACATCTGACAGTCTGAGGAGTTGACTGAACTTGCCTGAACTGTAGAATGACAAAACTGCTGGGCATCCTACGTTAAAGATAGTTATCTACTGATGTTTATTCAGCTTTCACATGCTGACAGGGCTCAGCAATTCTTCAATGAGATCAGCAGCTGTCACCCTCTAAGTATGTAAGCAAGCCTTGAAGAGACTTTTTTCCTGGTAGGGATTATTTGAAAAGTTTACATGGAGGCAATAGTCTTCTTACAACAATTCTTGTAGATTTGCATTTGCAAGTTCTCAAAGGGTCGCTGGTCAAACTGTGTTTCAGGACGAGCTCAGGCAGTGACATTTGGCAGCACCTTCCATCACAGTAACATCACAAGTGAGGCTGATCTGTCTTTGTCTGGTGGCTACATGTACACTTGTAGAGGTTTGTCCTGAGCAGCTCCATGATGCAGGACTCTGTGCTATACGCTCTGTTCCCTGGGACGCACTCAGAGACAAACATCTATTGTGCCTTGGGGCGGCACGGTGGCTCAGTGGTTAGCACTGCTGCCTCACAGCACCAGGGACCCGGGTTCGATTCCAACCTTGGGCAACTGTCTGTGTGGAATTTGCACGTTCTCCTCATGTCTGCGTGGGTTTCCTCTGGGTGCTCCAGTTTCCTCCCACAGTCCAAAGATGTGCAGGTTAGGTGGATTGGCCATGCTAAATTGCCCGTAGTGTTGAGTGATGTGTAGATTTGGTTGGTTATAGGGGGATGGGTCTCAGTGGGATGCTCCAAGGGTCAGTGTGGACTTGTTGCGCCAAAGGACCTATTTCCACACTGTAGGGATTCTATGATTCTACAACCATCAACCCAGTGAAAGACGCTCCTAGGCTGCCCAAAACTAGTTGGTCTTCCAGAGCAACAAATTGGCATTGACAGTGTTGCAAACTGGTACATTCCAAGGTCCAGGACTATGTGCTTACGGAGGCACTCAAGTTTGGGGTAGCCTCTGCCAAGGCACAGTGGGGAAATGACACTGCCTGAGGTCTTTCTGTCAAAGTTAAATGAGGGTGCATTCAGTTATCAGACCCTCCCTGTGCCTCAAAAGTGTCAATATAACCTTGCACAAGTAAGAAATGCCTTTGTTTGTTGTACTGGATACAGTCAAACTCTTCATATGCTACTGTACAGAACCAAATTGCTTTAGTGACGATGTGTGTGTATAATAACGTATACTTTTGAAATTTAAAAAAGTCTGGTGGTTACATGTATGTAATTATATCGAGAACAGATCACTGAACAGAAATCAGGCCAAATCTTTTCCAGGTAGCCCAGGTGCGCTGAGGCTAGCAACATTGGTCAGCTGCTAACTGGGCTGAAATTTGCTAGATCAGCATTAACTAGGGATGGAATCCGAGACTTGTCTGCACTACACTGCTCAGTATCGCACTGGCTGCAATGTTTATCCACTGAATCATGTTGGGAACTAAGAAAATTTAAAGCTATTTTTCATTTTCTTTCAATCTCCCTGTTCCCCACAGATCTCTGCAATACTGCTATAGAAGATGGTGGAAGGGAAACCACCATGTGTCATAATACCTTCAACGTTATCTCCTTTTAAAGGAAATGATGAAGAAACTGTTCAGCCTAGGCCTCACAGGCAATGATTGCCATGCAAATGAACTGGCTTTATTGAAGACCGAGTGCAATATTTGGGAATACCACTTTTTAAAAAAACATTACAGCTCACCTTGATTAAAGAACAATCCAGAAGTCCAAAATACAACCAAGAACACGGGATAGAATTCAACAGAGTTCTGCCTGTAGGGATTTAAACACAAAAAGCATGAAATCATTGACAATGGATGTTTCCAAAATATTCCATTAAAATTGCTTTGAAATGTCCTCCCCCAAAAGTTCTCCTATTCTCCACACCTCAGTAATGATCTACTATAACTTCTTCCATCAGGCAGAAGATACAGAAGCTTGAACACACGCACAAGCAGGTTCAGGAACAGCTTTTTCCTGGCCATAATGAGACTGATGAATGGACTCTCTTGCCTCAAATAATGCTGATCTTGCTAATGTTGATCGTGCCTCATGCACACCCTGCACAATATAACCTGCAGGCCTCTGTTTAAGTCTTTTTGATCTATACATCCTTTGCTTACTATGGTCTGCCTGTATTTGGGTACATGTGACAATAAATAAATCAAATAAGGTGCTGAATCATGCTGGAAATTACCTCCATGCAATTCTGATGAAAGATGACAGATCTTAAACATTAAATATTTATCCCTCCCACCCCGCCAATGCTATATGACCTGATAACTGTGATGCAGTTTAATGTGTAAAAGTAAGAGGTTATTGTTTTGGCAGGAAGAGTAGAAAAGCAGAAGAGCAGAGTACTATTGAAATGGAGAGAAACTGCAGAATGCGGTGGTAGAGGGACCTAGCTGCTCTTGTACACAAATCCCAAACAGTCAGCACACAGATATAGTAACAATCAAGGTGTCAAATAGAATGTCAGCCTTTAGCGCAAGGAGAATGAAATATAAAAGTATAAATGTTTGGCTTCAACCATACAGGACTTTACTGACATCTCATCTAGAATACAAGTACAGTTTTGATCAACTTACCTAGAGAGGGATATATTTGCATTGGAAGCAGTTCACAGAAGGTTCACTAGGCTGATTTGTGGAGTGAGGAATTTGTCTTATGAGGAAGAGTTGGAAGAAGGACAGGTGATCTTGTTGAAGCATGAAGGATCCAGCCATTGCTTAACAGGGTAAATGCTGAGAGGATGTTCCCCTTGTATCTAGGGCTAAAGGGCATAGTTTCAAAATAAGTGGTCTTCCAATTCAAATGGAGAGGAGGAGAAATTTCTTCTCGCAGAAGGTCATTAATCTTTGGAATTCGCGTCCTTAGTGAGTACAGCAGGCTGTACCACTGAATCGATTCAAAGCTGAGTTAGACGAGAAGATGGAGGATTTTGGGGGTGGGTAGGAGAATCAACTTAGGCCACCCAAATCAGTGATGTTACTGAACAGAGACCAGGCTGCAGGAGCCAAATGGCCCACTCCAGCCTCAATTTCTGGCATTTTGCTTTTATTTCACCTGAATCTAAGAACATCCAAGCTACTGATTTACCAAGGCAAAGAGAGGGAAGAGGTGGAACTGGAATTCTGTCCAGCCTGATTCTGACCTCACCATCCACACACACGTTCCTATTTATGAAAAGAAATTCCAGCTGAGATTTATTGCTCTGCTTATAACTTCTCCCTGAGAAAACTCTTCCCTCTTAAAAAAAAATGAAGCACAATTAAGCTATGAAAGTGGTTGTATGCTACAGTTCACTCAGAGCCTGAGCTGCAGCAGTACCATGCACTTTCTACGTGTGTGTTGTGACCTGGAACCTGGAACCTGAGATAGTGCTGCTAGAGGCTCCAACTTTCCTTTGAGTTCGTAACTGAAGACGAATCCCTCTCCCATTCTTACCAACTGCCATTGGTAGGTGCTGGATGAACGTGCAGCTTGATATTCAGTTTTTTTGGCCACATTAACAATGCAGCTTCCTTGGGCCATTTAGCTCTGGGGTGGGGCCCAAAGCCAGAGCTTTTAGAGGAAGGTAACTGCACTACAAGGATAGGGTGAATAGCCAAAGTCTTTTTCCCAGGATAGGGGGTCCAAAACTAGCTGGCACAGGTTTAAGGTGAGAGGGGAAAGACTTAAAGGGACCTAAGAAAAAGCCTTTTCACACAGAGGGTGGTCCATGTGTGGAATGAGCTGCCAGAGGAAGCGGCGGAGGCTGGTATTCGACCACGTTCTCTGGGCAGCTCATTCCATACAACATTTAAAAGGCATCTGATGGCCACATGCTCTTCTGAGGGTCAGTGTGGACTCAATGGGCCAAATGGCCTGCTTCCATACTGTAGGGATTCTATGATTCTGATTTCACCAGAAATTAAATTGCCCTTTGAAGATAAAAAATGCTACTGCTTGTCATTTTAGTAGATTTTAAAGATTTTAAGTCAAAAAATACTTCCTTTTTAAAAAAAGGGTCGGATAAGACCAGGATTTCCATTTCTGATCCCTATAGAATTTATTTTTGCTGATATAGCACATATACAGGTATCAGGTAGGGGTGGGGTCAGGCTTGGTTGTGACGGCCTCTACAGGTGAATAGTTCTCTTGCAGCTATTATCTAGGTTCACATGTAAAGAGTGGACATGTAGCTAATCTGATGGATAGCTGCTAACCCTTCATGAATTAATATTTCTGGACAAACCAGTAGTTTTCTGTTGGAAGGAGGGCAAGGAAAGGGCAAACTGAATTATTCACCTTGATGATGTGTAGCACTAATTTATGCCTCTGTTATTTGAGCAAGCAGCCATCACAATACAATTGCACACAAATGATTCATGTTCATGCGAAGTCAAATCTTATGTTGTCTAAAGGTTTGCGCTGAATTATTCACCAACACCATATCATTATATGGATATGCCTCAATTAAGGTAAAGGGACTGACTGACATTAATTATTGGCAATCAAAGGTTGTATCTGTAAGCAAATAAAACCTCTACTTTTTTTCCCTACTCTGAGTGGAACAAAAGGGAAGGTTCTCTCACAATGTTTTATAAAAATAAAATCGGTTACAATAAATTCCCTGACAACATATGATCTCTGCCTCCTGTCCAATCTCAAGCTCCATATCTTTTACGTCAGGAAAGTCAAATACTTCTACTGCCTTAACTCCAGACCATATCAGCTCATTTGTCACCTCACTTGTGCCTTTGTCTAGTTCAAACTCAAATATCCCAATGTTTTCCTGGCTTGACGCCTATCCCTGAAACTTGAGTTCAAATAGACATGCAATGGCAATGGCCCCTCTAACCTTTCAATGCTGCTCGTGGCTTATTAAAGTGTGGAGGGTCTTTAAAATGGCATAGCCATGCAAAACAACATGGGACCTTAAAGGTCCCTACGTGAGAACCTACAGGGTGCTGTATTGCTCCTCAGCTTAGGGGGAACATAATGACACTAACATACCCTCAAACTCATCCTTTGTACTGCCCCATCATGCACCCTTCCTGCCTACCGCCAATATGATGTTGACCATCCCTTCTAAATCAGTCTCTCCTTGGCCAGGCATCTGCTTCTAGCCCTGAAACACCATGGAAGAGTTTATTCACAATGGACCTAGCACATATAGGGAGCAGACTACATTTTTCTGTAATATAGTAACAAGTTAGCAAACTGGCAGAAAGCTCTCTTTATGAAAATGTCAAACACTTCCAGTAACACCACCCTACAATTGGCTTCAATTCTCAGCAGAGGGAAGTGGAGGGTGAAAGGAACATCTGCCAAGATCCTGCTCTCTACTGTTATCCCCTGGATCTCTAACCCAAATGGAAAGTATATGCATTTGTTGATATTGGTCGGAGCAAGACCAGCTTCAACAACAACTTATTTATAATTGCACCTTTTACATAACAAAATAAAGGACATTTCCATTATAAGTAACATTATAAAACAAAGTATGACACTGGGCCACAAAGTAAGATATTAGGCCAGATGGTTAAACATCTTAAAAAAAGATTGAGAGGTGAAGTGATGGAATTCTACAACTTAGTGCTTAGGTAACTGAAAGCATGGACAGCAATAGTGCAATATTTATAAATCTGGAGTGCACAGGAATCTAGAATTAATGCAGCACAGATATTTTGGAGGGTTGTGGAGTTAGACGGGGTGTCAGAGATAGGTAGGGGCAAAGCCATGTTGGGATTTGAAAACAAATATGATCATTTTAAAAACAAGACGTTGCTAGATGGGGCACCAGTGGAAGAAAGGGAATACAGAAGTGATAGGGGAAAGCGCCTGGTTGTGAGTTAAGACATGGACAGAGTTCCAGTTGAGCTCAAGTTTACAGAGAGTCGAATGGGGAGACTAGATGGATGTGTGTTGAAATAATAAAAGGTAACAAAAGGTGTAGGTTAGGATTTCAGCAAAGGATGTGCTGAGATGGGATGAAGTTGAGTAATGTTATGGAGGAGAATCAGCATTCTTTAGCTGGCACAAATGTGGTCGGAAGCTTATCTGAGGATCAAGTGTGACTCCAAGGTTGCAAACAGACTGGCTTTATCACAGACTGTTGCCAAGGACGCAAGTAGACCATAGCCAGGGAGTGGAGTTTGGAAGGTATTTGAAAACTATTGCTTCCATTTTCAAAGTACTTCTTTGGAGTAAATTTCTGCCAAACCAGTACTGGATATCAGATATGCAGTCTGATAGTTTAACAACAGTGGAGTAGTTGAGAGATGTGGTAGTGGTGATGGTGGTAAGGTAGAGCTGGGTGTCATCAGTGTACGTGTGAAAACTCTTGCCATGCCTTTGGATGATGTCACTAAAGAGCCAAAGACAGATCATTTGCCACTCCAGAGGAAATGATGTAGAGCAGGATGAGAAGCCACTGAATGCCATTCTCTAGCTATGATTAGATAGATACAAATAGGATCAGTGTCCCCTATTTGGGCAACAATGAGGAAGGGCTTGGATGAGGATAGTGCGGCCAACCGTGAAAATGGCTACAAACAAGTCAGAACAGCTGGCCGTGATGTATGTCTAAAAAGTTACTCAAAGATTATTAACAATGCTCATTAAATCAAGAATTGGGACGGGTATCAAAGCTGAAAAGCACAAGTCAATACTTTCAAGAGAGGAAGATAAAGAAAACATTAAGAGTAAGTGGTTAATTACTTAATATAACTGAAAATATGTTTGAGAGTCTGTCTTTGTTCTTGCACAGATTGCAACTGTTTATGGACTACTTATTGTTGTATTGGCTGCCAAATACTAGTCCTCCCCGACCCTATGTGACCTAGTGTAGTTCAGTCCGAGTCATTGGGAACTCTGAGCTACAGTTCTGGCTGGCCAGAGTCATGAAATTGTAGTGTTGTTTACAATGTTTACATAGTACAGGTCTTGCTCCTCTCCAGGGATGATGTCAACTTGAAAATCCTGCTAATTATTTAACTGCGAAAAGAAAAACCCAAGATTGATTTATGCCTAACAAGACAGTTAATTAAGAAAAATGCAGTAAGAACTTCCTTTGTTTTTTTTTAAATTGATGAAAAAAAGTCTTTAAATGACCACACTAAAAGCTTAAGCACAATTTCATTTGGGAATAATTGGAAGAAGGAAATCTTCAGTCAATTTCTCAGATTCAATACATATTATAAGAGGCTTGAGTAAACTTACTGTGCACGAAATATTCTTTCAAAATCAGGAGATCCTGTAACTGATGGTGGAGCGATTTTATACCTCTTCCTAGCACTTCCTACTTGCTTGGCAAAATATGCTGCATATACAATGGAAAGTTTATTTCAAAATGCAGACAGTATTAAACAGTATACATAAAAGGAGATATGCTGGGACAAAGATTTAAATACACCGTATGACAATACAAAATATGTAGACGATAGCATTCTCATAGTCTAATGCATGCTCCAAGCAACTTTTAATACATTAAATGACTCCAAGTTCAAAGATCAGAACACACAGCAGACCATTGAAAGTGATGGTATTGCCTGATGAGAAGCAAATGGGCAGGATACAAGATTCACTACTGGTGTGGATTTTATAAATCATGTAGTAAATAGAGGTTCATTCACAGCAACACACTCCCATTTGAACCAACTTTTCAAACCAAATTTGACTTGAATAAAAATGGATTAGATATTTAAATTAATTCCTTTTGTCTTCAGCCTCATATCTTCTTGTTTGCAGCTCTTTGTCATCTTGCAATAAATTTGCTTGCTCTATAAACCTTTCCTGATGTTTTGAGGAACAAAGACAAGTAGGAAATAAGCTCGAATCAGAGATAGTAGGAACTGCAGATGCTGGAGAATCCGAGACAACAAGGTGCAAGGCTGGATGAACACAGCAGGCCAAGCAGCATCATAGGAGCAGAAAGGCTGACGTTTCGGGCCTAGACCCTTCATCAGAAAAGGGGGAGGGGCCTACACTCACCTTTCCTGGCCCCATCCCCGCCTCTTCGACCTGTTTGTTTCTTCTCCACCTATCCTCTCCTCCATCCCTCTTCTATCCGCCTCCCACTCTCTCCCTATTTATTTCAAAACCCCCTTCCCCTCCCCCTTTTCTGATGAAGGGTCTAGGCCCGAAACGTCAGCCTCTCTGCTCCTATGATGCTGCTTGGCCTGCTGTGTTCATCCAGCCTTGCACCTTGTTGTCTAGGAAATAAGCTCACAGTGTGGAGCTGGAGGAACACAGCAGGACAGGCAGCATCAGAGGACCAGGAAAGCTGACGTTTTGGGTCGGGACCCTTCTTCAGAAATGACCCGAAACTTCAACTTTCCTGCTCCTCTGATGCTGCCTGGCCTGTTGTGTTCCTCCAGCTTCACACTCTGATCTCTGACTCCAGCATTGGCAGTTCTTACTATCTCTAGGAAATGAGCTCAACTCTGTTCTGTCACTGTTGTTCCTTTTAATGGACCAATGCACAGCCAAGTCACAGAAGCATTAGCCTAAATCAGAGAGATGAGCTCCACTGACATAAATTGATGTGCCCCAGATTAATTAATAGCAAAGGTGAATTTCGTCCACGTATTTCATTACCAAACTGAGCCCTTTCCTTCCAATTTTGTCCCCAGGCCATTGTCTCCCAAATAGGGCAACTTGCTCTGCATCATAAGTAACAGCTATCTAACACTGACTGCTATCAACCTATCACCCTTTGTAGCTCCAGTTATACCACAAACTATGGCAGTCCATATGACATGAGGGAGCCACAGTTAGCTCCGGCCTGGTCTTCACCTAAGAACCATATATGTACATTACCAGCAGGGGCCACTGCTTAACAAATAGAAGCAGATATCCTAGTTTAAACAGTCTCCTCTCTCTGAGGGTTGTGAAACCCAAATGATATTCACACCCACTGTTGCCCAAGAGACAGACTAATCCAGCACAAAGAAGCAACTGAATTTTTGGCCTTCCTAACTAGTTCTAAATGAGTAACGTGACAGGTGTGTATTTATCGACTGATCATTCTACAAATATGAAGGAAAGAGAAATGCATATAATCTGTGAGGTCAATATTGCATTGTACTGTTGTATACACCTACTGGAAATTACACTTCATGTAATCTGCTTAGGACCTCTAGTGGTCAACATATGGTATTGCAGTAATATGCATAAGGCACAAAACATTTTAGAAATGACATCACAGACAAACTAGTGAAACATTCATTTTTACACACACTCTGAATTTCCTGACTTGAACCTATTCACATTTAGGACAGGACATTTGACTTGGTTTTAAATAAAAACACAGAAATATTGTGGTTTCCTTAACACGGGAGAAAAGTGAAGCTGCATGTTTGGAAATGAAACACAATCCTTTGTTTCATTTCAGATTTCTGCAAAACAATTTCTATCAAAATCATATCATATTTCCACCTTCAGAGACCCCATAATGCAGAATCTGTTTTGCCTTTTATTATTCTTCAATTTGAGGTGCTTCACTTTTCCATAGTTACCTTCAATTGTCAAAGACAAATTATTTCTACCTTAGCTCAGATGTCAACTACCTTCACACTTGGCTGCAAGTGTCTCTCTCTTGCTTTAGATTTATTTACTGATTCTCCATGTTTTCTGTGGGATTTCTTTGTTACCTGGCAAAGTTTGTTTCTATTTTATTTTAAGAAGTATGATCTAATATTGTGCATTTGGTGTCAAAGTGTTGACTACAGCTCCACATCAGCAGAAACAGCCGAACTGTATTGATTACTCAAATCCATGCCACTAGCGGATCAGTAGGTTACAGGCTATCCCAGGATGCTACCAACTGATATAAACTAACGTGGCAGATGAGAATTATCCAAAGTTTGACTTGTGTACATTGCTGATTCCAACCAGAGGGCAGGTGGGCAACTGCTAGGGATCAAGTGGTGGGATACATGCAAAGAGCAGTACTATATGCACAATCAGTACTTAGTAATCCATTGCAGAAAACTACCCTCAATAATGTTGTTTGATGATCTGATGGGATTTCTTACACTAAAGTTGACTAGTTCACCATATAGATTCATCCACAAGAAAAAAAAATTCCTTTGATGAGATCCATGGAGTGATCCTTGTATATGAATGGACTGTAATGTGAGTCCACTCAGAAAAAGGACTGGACGAGAATGACAAATAAATACGAGTATAATCAACATTACTGTACATAGATCTTGAAAACACAGTCACATCATTCTAGTTTCAGGTCACAAAGATCTTCATCTCAAACAGACACATTTTTGACATATAGTGAGTTAATTTCAAAATACAAGGAGCATCTATAAAAACACAACTAATGCAACTGGTGAAGCAGTGATAATTTGGGTTCTGAACTTACTCCACCAACATAAAATATTACCCATTACTCTACCATGTGATCATCTAGCAATGAAAATTTTTCATGAGGTTAATCAGCATGGAATTATTGAAGGTTTTATGTTGTGAATATAGTGTGAACTAGACAATTGCTCAAATAATACTATGAAACTACGAGATATTGAATCACACATTGAAGATCATGGGATTACTGCTCCAAATTGCTCACAAAGGACTCAATCTATGGTAAGATACGAAGGAATGGTTTAACATTTTCTCTGTAAGAAGGAAAACATTCAGAGGGATATTCTTAGAATTATGTAAGATATATAAAGAGAAACAGGTGGTTAGTCCATGATAGTGTTTATGTTTTGCTACAGCCTCCTCCCATCTTTCCTGATTTAAATTTCGCAGTGTAACCCTCTATTCCTTTCTGCCTCTATTGTTGCCAATCTTCTGAATGCCCAATTGCTGCTCTTTTACACTCATGATAAAGTGTCCTTACCAGCAGTCTGAGAGCAGGCGGAGATTAAAAACTCGACAAGAGAACACTAATTCAAAGACTTCCAAGAATCTCATAGTTGACATCACAATTCTCAATGCATTCAATTAGAGTGTATTGCATTACTTCCGCCACTGCCAGTAAATGGAAATCCCCATCGCAGCTATGTCACTTTGTGAAGACATTACCCAGGAATCAGTTGTTGCCCAGAGTCTCCATTAGGGAGATACGGAAGTCTTGGAGAAATTACATCGATGAGTTCCCTTGCAAAGATCTAGCTAAAACAGACAGTCAGGATTTTACAGTCTTGAAAAAAAAACAACAGAAGTGATCTTAAATAATTATTTATTGTATCTAAGTTAACCAGTGTGCTCAAACAAGAAATCATAAGCTAACTTTATGAAAAGACAATTTTGGGCTGATGTGAAGAAAATTTCCTTACGTGAAGAATTGAGCACACTTGGTATGGTCTTTCAACAAAAAAAAACACAAGAATCCTACACCTTCATTATCCACCGCCCCACTGTTACCCCACCGTCCCCTTGCCTGAAGTCAGGTGCAGTCCCCGATTAAACTTGCTAACTGGCCTACATCAGAATTTAAACTGAGGATTCTGGTTTATATGGTGCAGCTATTCACAGAATAAACCTGCTGATGCAATGAGGGAGCCCAACACATTGCACATATTTAGCACTAATGATCTCATTGGGGGAAATACTTTGGAACAGCTACTGAGTCCAAAAACACAGTCAATTAACTCTGATCATTATTCCAAACATTTAATTTCCATCATGAATACAATTTCAGCTACCTCCACATTTTGGTCTCAGTATTTTCCTCACGGCACGTCCTGATTTCAATTATTAAACAGCAAGACAAAAAAAGAAATATCAGCAAAACAAATATGCAAAAACTTACAGAAGCTAAAGACTGACATTGGTGATGTAAGCTTTGTAAGGGTGGGACTCCTTAGCAGAAGAGATGGTGTGGGTGACTCTCAAATGCAGTAAAAATCTTATGCACCGTGCTGGTGTGACCAAGCAGCACGAGATATCAAAATGACTTGCTTTTCCCTCCTAACTGGGAGACCCTTTCACTTGATTCTATACAAACAGGCCAAATCTAAAATAAAATGTAATTTGTAGACTCATATGCCACGCAAGATTTTCTAATTCAACATATTTAGTGGCATTTTGCTGATTGGGAATTTCTGTCTAAATATAGATAAAACTCCTCTCTTTTTCCTACAATCAATTTTGCTATCGTTAGGGATAGTGGTGTAATGTTCTCTTTTATTGCCCTTTTTCTGCCCCTCCCCCCAAAAAAACATGATCTCACAAAGAAACAACATAGAGATGAGATTCATCCAATGTCCTATCTCCCACTGAATCTACTTTATTTGTCATTTTTGGCTCAGCTACTAAAAGGAAGCCTATACTCCTCAGGATGGAGCAACAGCACTAGGGTCCACTGAAATGCCACAGAAACATATCTATTGATCAGAAAACCAATAATCGCGACCGACCTTTCTCTATTGGTGTTTTAACTCCTCACAAATCTGGTCTTCAAACTGAGGAAGACTCTCATCTACATTCCATCTGGTAAATGAAATGATCAGCAATCTCTCTGCTTCAGACAAAGGCTTGTCTGGCTCAACTCTTTTTGCTCTCCAACTCTCTTCTGGCTGCAGAATCAACCACGATGCTGCAGCTCTGGAGTCCCATGGAGGATTGACCAGGTAAGGATGGCAGATTTCCTTCCTCAAAGGGAATTTGTGAACTAGGTGGGTTTTCATAATAATCTACTGTGGTTACATAACATCATTAGGGCTGGTTTTTGTTTTATTCCAGATTTCTTTCATTGAATTCAAATTTCACCAATATGCCATGGTGGGATTCAAACATTCTTTGCTGGGACTTTGGATTACTAGACCAGGGACATTACCAATACACTAATGTCTCTCTCCTGTTGCAGTTATGAGAAAGCCTTTAACCAGACATCAAATTTATTTCCTTGATAACAAGGTGTAGAGCTGGATGAACACAGCAGGCCAAGCAGCATCAGAGGAGCAGGAAGGCTGATGTTTCGGGCCTAGACCCTTCATCTGAAATTGGGGAGGGGAAAGGGGTTCTGAAATAAATAGGGAGAGAGGGGGAGGCGGATAGAAGATGGATAGAGGAGAGGATAGGTGGAGAGGAGACAGACAGGTCAAAGAGGCGGGGATGGAGCCAGTAAAGGGGAGTGTAGGTGGGGAGTTAGGGAGGGGATAAGTCAGTCCAGGGAGGACGGACAGGTGAAGGGGGTGGGATGAGGTTAGTAGGTAGGAGATGGGGGTGTGGCTTGAGGTGGGAGGAGGGGACAGGTGAGAGGAAGAACAGGTTAGGGAGGCAGGGACGAGCTGGGCTGGTTTTGGGATGCGGTAGGGGGAGGGGAGATTTTGAAGCTTGTGAAGTCCACATTGATACCATTGGGCTGCAGGGTTCCCAAGCGGAATATGAGTTGCTGTTCCTGCAACCTTTGGGTGGCATCATTGCGGCACTGCAGGAGGCCCAGGATGGATATGTCATCTGAGAAGTGGGAGGAGTTGAAATGGTTCACGACTGGGAGGTGCAGTTGTTTATTGCGAACCGAGTGTAGGTGCTCTGCAAAGCGGTCCCCGAGCCTCCGCTTGGTTTCCCCGATGTAGAGGAGGCCACAACGGGTGCAACGGATGCAGTATACCACATTGGCAGATGTGCAGGTGAACATCTGCTTGATGTGGAAAGTCTTCTTGGGGCCTGGGATGGGGGTGAGGGAGGAGGTGTGGGGGCAGGTGTAGCACTTCCTGCAGTTGCAGGGAAAAGTGCCGGGTGTGGTGGGGCTGGAGGGGAGTGTGGAGTGGACAAGGGAGTCACGGAGAAAGCAGATAAGGGTGGGGAGGGAAAAATGTCTTTGGTGATGGGGTCGGATTGCAGATGGCAGAAGTGTCGGAGGATGATGCGTTGGATCCGGAGGTTGGTGGGGTGGTACGTGAGGACGAGGGGGATTCTTTTTTGGTTGTTATTGCAGGGACAGGGTGTGAGGGATGAGTTGCGGGAAGGAACAGTAACTCATATTCCGCTTGGGAACCCTGCAGCCCAATGGTATCAATGTGGATTTCACAAGCTTCAAAATCTCCCCTCCCCCAACCGCATCCCAAAATCAGCCCAGCTTGTCCCCGCCTCCCTAATCTGTCCTTCCTCCCACCTATCCCCTCCTCCCACCTCAAGCCACACCCCCATCTCCTACCTACTAACCTCATCCCACCCCTTTGACCTGTCCGTCCTCCCTGGACTGACCTATCCACTCCCTAACTCCCCACCTACACTCCCCTTTACTGGCTCCATCCCTGCCTCTCTGACCTGTCTGCTTCCTTTCCACCTATCTTCTCCTCTATCCGCCTCCCCCTCTCTCCCTATTTATTTCAGAACCCCTTTCCCCTCCCCCATTTCTGAAGAAGGGTCTAGGCCCGAAATGTCAGCCTTCCTGCTTCTATGATGCTGCTTGGCCTGCTGTGTTCATCCAGCTCTACACCTTGTTATCTCAGATTCTCCAGCATCTGCAGTTCCTACTATCTCTGATACAAATTTATTTCCTTTACCATTTTCTCTATACTTTGAAACAAAACAAACTAAACTCCTTCATGAACCGTTCTGGTATCAAGATTAATCAAAGATGCAGTGATGCCTCCTTTTAAGCGTTGTCTTGTGACAATACAGGAGGCGAGTCAGCCCATCATATCCATGGATTTTCAAAAATGCTATCCCACCTATCCCCTATCCATTTCCCATTGTTCTCTATTTGTTTTCCCTTTTCAGAACGTATCCAATTCCGTTCTGAAAAATACTACCAAATCAGTTTCTGTCACTTTTTTTCTGACAATATGTTGCAGGTCACAATAAGCAGCTACTTTTAAAGTCTGCCCATGGCCTTAGATTCATTTGCCAGTGACTCTAATAGGTACCCTCTGACCTTTCTGCCTCTGGAAGCAACTTGCCTGTATTTAATCAATCAAAACTGGGCATGTTTATTTTCCTCAAAGCCTCTAATCAAATCTTTAAACAGTAGCAACTTCTGAACATCTCACACCTCTAAAGCTATTAAGTGTATTTCCTCTGCACTTCCTCCAAAATTTCACATCCCACAAGCGTGTAGTGCCTAGAATTGGACAGTGTGTAGCTGAGATGTAAAGTTGTTTTATCTGCACATACATAGGTACAACATATATTTCGTCCTGCATTTATATCGTATTCCTCCGCTTTGAAAGCCGGACTAAACTGCCCTCTGCCTTCCAAAATAGGTATTCGTAAACGTGCTGGCTCGTTCACTGCCTTTCACCAGTTAGGGAAGGAGGTATGGGTTACCTCAAGGGGTTCGAGAGAAGGGGAGGGCAAAGAAAAATCAGTTGAGCTGTTCCTCATTATCCGAATAAAACATGCAGAAGTTAATCAAAGGTAGAATTTGTGCTGCAACCGTCCGAACTCACTGACACGGTCAAAGGTAGGCTAAAGTACAGCAAGGACTGTGCATTTGAACAGGAACCAGAAGAAAGGGGGAAGTGATACCTGTTACAGATACAAAACCAACGCCTTACCCTGCTGGGCGACAGATAACAATGAAACAACAGCTAACAAGATATAATCCTTCGCCATGACTCCAGACAACCTGGAATAGCCAGTGACAACAACAGGAACGGTCTCGGGGGTGGGGGGGAAAGGAATGGTAATTTAGCTCCGCCCATGGGAAGCAGTTTCAGCTCCTGCTCTTACAGACACATGATAGACGCTGCTTTATCCCCAAGAGGGAGACAGAGCTTTCCAGTTAAACCATTCAGACAGTGTAGACGTGGTTGAATAAACCATCATAGGGGAAGGAACGCCTCTCCAGAAAACTCTTGTCAGCTGAGCAGGATGGTTCATCAGCGTAATATCCTCTCATTCGCTCCCGTGAAACTGTGCTTCTCCCAAGGATTTCGTCATTTTGCGGATAGAATGGTCGCTGTCTCCACAATTTGGAAGCGGTGGCGGGAGAATGAGATTGCACGTTACGGGATTTACTCTTCTTGTAATAAGGCTACTATTGTTTTATAAAGTGCTGTCTGAATTTCACTGAAACTGATCACTTTCGATTAAAATCTTTTGTTTTCCTCACGCTGCAAACGATTCTACTTGGAGATAATTTACGAAGTCTTTACATTGGTGTACATTTAAATCCTTATATATATTTTTTAAAAACTATGTTCACTATCAAATGCAGAAAATCTGATAAACCAAAGCCTAGTTTCTACGGGTAGAGACAAAAAAAATCTTGCAGGTTGCTGGAATCCAGGGTAGGCAAACAGGAGGCTGGAAGAACACAGCAAACCAGTAATACCCGAAACATTGGAGGAAAGAAGTCAGACGCTGCCTAGCTTGTTGTGTTCTTCCAGCCTCCTGTTTGTCTAGCCTGTTTTCTGTGTTTTTTTAAAAATACTATATCACAATCTGCAGCAACATCTAGTGATTTACAGAGGAACTGCACCACGTCAGCCAATGTCTTTTTAGCCCCAAATACCAAGTTTCAGGACAACGACCTTTATCATTAAGAATCAAAAACACAAATTGCTGGCGAAACTCAACAGTGCTGGCAACGTGTTGGAAGAAAGCACTGTTTACGTTTCTGGGGAGTCTTCATCAGAATTGAGAAAGTAGGAACTGCTGATGCTGGAGTCTGAAATGAC